GGTGCCGGCCCGCAGCGCAGCGGTATTTCTTCTCAATTGAGGTGGCCCGGACGAGGGCGGCCATCCCTTAGCATGGGGATAGCCCAGCGCGGGGCCGACTGATGTCCCAGTGGCTCCGTGCATTCCCCTCCACAGAGGACTCGCCCGATCGCCCGGCAGGTCACTCGACCACCGCTTGAGGCCAGGTATCGATGTCGGCGCCGGACGCAGAACGACGAGTCACTGAACGCAAGACGCTGCGCATCCGAGCCACCATTCTCCTGGGGGCCACCCAGGCATTCGAGGTCCGCACGCTGGACCTGAGCATTGGCGGCATGGGCATCGTGGCACAGGCCAATCCCCGCCCGGGCACCTTGATGGGCATCCGCTTCATGCTGCCGCTCAAGCCGGGCGGCTACCACCCCTTCGAGGCGCGCGCCAGGGTGGCGCACAGCGTCTACTCAGCCAGCGAGCAGGGCTTCAAGATCGGGCTGTCGTTCATCGAACTCTCGCCCGAGGCCGCTGGGGCCGCCCTGCGGTTCGTGTCGGTTTAAGGCTGAGCTGCCCGGCGGCGACGCGCCTGCGCGCCAACCAGGCCGAGCCCCAGCAAGGCCAGCATGGCCGTGGCCGGTTCCGGGACGGCGCTGACATCGAAGGTCAGCGTGCCGCCCGTCCATTGGCCTTCCGCCACGCCGACGGCGAAGTCCTTGTAGCTCTCGCTGAACTCGATGCGCAGCAAGCCGTCGGCCCCGACGGCGACACCGAAGCCGGTCAGGTCCAGCGTCCCGCTGTAGCTGCCCGAGCCGCTGACCGCGTCGGCCAGCCCCGGCGCGAAGGTGAGCAGATCCAGGCCAGTGGAGCTGCCGAAGCTGACCTGCATTTCCGACAGGCTGCTCGGCGAGAAGGCATCCAGCGCAACCTGCCAGCTCAGGCTGTTGAGCACGGCATTGGCCCCGATGTCGATGAGCCAGACCGTGTTGCCGGCCTCACCTTGCAGGTTGACGCTCTGGGCGCCGCCCACATTGACGACGACCGGGGCGGCCTGGGCGGACAGGGCGGCGAGGGCCAGCGTGGCGGCCGCAGCCGTGCGGGGAAGGAAGGTGTTCATGTTGAGGTCTTTCACGGGGCGGCGGTCGGAGCGACGAAGACGACGGCGGTGCGGGCCGGCAGGCTGAAGCTGCCGGTGC